TACCACGCAAATGTTCGAAGAGGAATTGGACGAAAACGGACGTATGATATGTGTTGAAGAGCGGGGCTCGGCGCACGTTCCGTTTGATCAATCGAGCCAAAATGGCGTGGGTAACGACACCCGTCTGACTAACTCGCTGTCTCCTCCTGCTCACCCAGTCGCAATGCTATATTCAATGGCCGGGCGTTTCGCTTGAAACCTCCTCACCAGTAATGATTCTGAACATTAAACAGCGACAACAGCTTCACATATGGAAGGCGGGTCGTTTCAAAATGCGGTTCTCGCCTGAGCGCCGCGCACGATCGCTTAAAAAAACTGTAACATCTGCACAGATTGAGGGCAGGTCGTTTTCAAAATGTGGCTCTCGCTTTAGCGCCGCGCACACTCGCAGCAACAATTTGCAAGAGCTCCACGGATTGATGGCGGGTCGAGTTCAAAATGTGGTTCTCGCCTTAGCGCCGCGCACATTCGCTTTAAAAATGTACAAGAGCTTCACGGATTGAGGGCGGCTCCTTTTCAAAATGTGGCTCTCGCCTGAGCGCCGCACACATTCGCTTCTAAAAAGTGCAAGAGCTTCACGCATTGAGGGCGGGTGGTTTCCAAAATGTGGCTCTCTCCTGAGCGCCGCGCGCATTCGTTTTAAACGTGTGCAAAAGTTTCACGGATTGAGGGCGGCTCCTTTTCAAAATGTGGCTCTCGCCTTAGCGCCGCGTGCATTCGTTTTCAAGGTGTGCAAGAGTTTCGCGGATTCGCATGATCAACGTACCAGCAATGGCGTTGTGGAAATATTCAGGATTATGCGGGTGCAACAGTTATGTTGGCTCGCGGTGTTGAAGTCCCAAAAACGGCGCTCTGGCACGATTCCGGGACGCAGCAGTCAGGTGGATACGCGGCGTCGAAGTCCCGAGAATAATGTTCTGCCATTCTTCAAACGGTTGTCTTCGAACGAGGCCGTTCCCTCAATGGAAATGACACGTTGTGGGGGGCTACGAAAAGGGAGCTTGGAGGGAGGGTGAATTCCAATATCGTTGATGTATTTTGGTTTTACACTGGTCCTCGTCCTCCTCCTCGTCATCCTCTTCTCTCTCCCCAGAGGGGCACACCCATAAGCGGGGTGTCGGGTCAAAGCGCCCCCAGTGCAGCAAACACTTGGCCTTCGGGGTCAAATCCCCATCACCCTGGCGTTCGTTCCAGGGGCCGCCAGGTCCCGTGTCCTCCCCCAGGGCGGGGCGGGAGTTCACTCCCCGCACTCGCCGCTTTGGGTTGTGTCTGACGGTCCCTTCTCCCCCCTTGTCGTTCGCTATCGTCCGTCGTCTCGTCGTCGTGCCGTGCTGTTTCTTGGACCCGGCGTGCAGAACCTTTTTCCCGGGTCCTTTAAGCGGCAGGAGGCCCGTCGTTGCCTGTTCCGTACAAAGGTACACGTAGTTCATTTCTAACCGTGCTCATTTCTAATTGTGCTCGTCTCTAGGGGTTCCTGGCCCCCCGGTGGCCGGGAAGAGGCCCAGGATCGAACAATCAGACATGGAAGGATCTTGGCCCCCGAAACAATCAAGAAACTCTCGAAGAATTAAACATAAGCCATGTGTACCCTAGGCCCCTTGTGCAGAAAGTGGCGGGGCCCTCTGGCTGCCCTTCGGGCTCGACTTTCCCCCCGTTCCGCTCGGTCGTCTCGCCCGCGGGCCGCGCGCACGGGGCCCCCGTGGGAGGCGACGGGCGCCCCAGTGTGGCACCCGGAGCCCCACGCGTTGGGGCAGTGTCGTGGGCTCGTGTGCTTTCGGCATGCAGCGCAGCGGCGGTGCTCAAAAATCCTCCTCCTCCTCCTCCTCCTCCTCCTCCTCCTCCTCCTCCTCCTCCTCCTCCTCCTCCTCCTCCTCCTCCTCCTCCCTCCCTCCCTCCCTCCCTCCTCCCTCCTCCCTCCCTCCCTCCCTCCCTCCCTCCCTCCCTCCTCCTCCTCCTCCTCCTCCACCTCCTCCTCCTCCTCCTCCTCCTCCTCCTCCTCCTCCTCCTCCTCCTCCTCCTCCTCCTCCTCCTCCTCCGCCTCCTCCTCCTCCGCCCCTCCTCCTCCTCCTCCCTCCCTCCCTCCCTCCCTCCCTCCCTCCCTCCTCCTCCTCCCTCCTCCCCTCCTCCTCCTCCTCCTCCTCCTCCTCCCCTCCTCCTCCTCCTCCTCCTCCTCCTCCTCCTCCTCCTCCTCCTCCTCCTCGTCTCCTCCCTCTTCCTCCTCCGCGGCCTCCCCTCCTCCTCCCCTCCTCCTCCTCCTCCTCCTCCTCCTCCTCCTCCTCCTCCTCCTCCTCCTCCTCCTCCTCCTCCTCCTCCTCCTCCTCCTCCTCCTCCTCCACCGGTCCCCCGCGGTGCCCCCACGCCTGCGGCGGATCCCGGCGGACCCGCGCGACTGCACGGCCCCAAACGGCCAAACAGAGTGGCCCGAGACGGCTGCAAACCGCCCTATAGGTCCAACCCGTGATGGCCCAGCAGCGCCCCAGAGAGCGAAAGATGCGCTCCTACTAGGACTCCAGCGGGAGGCGTGCACCCCAGACGGTCTGACCTTCGACCTCGCGCAGCCTCCCGCTCCCTCCCACCCTCCTGGCTCCTCCTTTTCCTCTTCCCCCGCCCCTGCTCCACCTCCCCCCCCGCCCTCACCATCCCCCACCTCCCGCCCCGTTCCCTGCCCAGGCCAGGAGGAAGAGGAGCGGAGGAGAATGGGAAGGGGGAGGAGGGTGAGAAGGAGGAGGAGGAGGAGGAGGAGGAAGAGGAGGAGGAGAGGGAGGAGGAGGAGGAGGAGGAGGAGGAGGAGGAGGAGGAGGACGAGGAGGAGGAGGAGGAGGAGGAAGAGGAGGAGGAGGAGGAGGAGGGGGAGGAGGACGAGAAGGAGGAGGAGGAGGAGGAGGAGGAGGAGGAGGAGGACCTCCGCTCCCCCTCATCCTCCCCTTCCTCTCCCTGCCCAGGCCAGCTTCCGAGGGCCACAGGCCCCGCCCCGCGTGGCAGCGCAGCGAACCTTGCGCGCGCGCAGGCAGAAGCTGCTGCGTGCGCCCTCGCCACGGCGCCTCCACGTCAGGCGGAGGGCAGCTGAGGCTCGCTCGCGTTCTTCGTCCCCGCACCCGGGCGCGCCCCGTCCCAGATCCCCGACGTCGTTTTTTTGTCCTGGAGTGGACCACCGGTGGTCCGGACTCCTTCGTCCTGCATGGACCAGGGACTGGCGACTGCATCCAAAGTCGTTATTGGACGGTCGCGTGGCCCAGCGGGGGCGCACGGAGGCCGAGGACAGCGACAAAAAACAGCCCGTCATGACGTCTTCATGACCCGCAGGGGTCTGGGGTCTGGGGTCGATGCCCCCGCTACCCCTAAGGGATATTTTCGACGAAAAATAAAAAATACCAAAAAATATTTGAAAATTGTCAAAAAAAATCCGCCGGCCCCCTTGTGGGGCCACCAGGCTGTAGGCGCGGGTTCGCAGTCTCCTGTACCAGTTGTAGCTTGTAGTTTCCAGTGTTACAGTTCTGCTTCTTGCTGGTTGCTGTAACTAGTTGATTGACCGCGCGAGGGGGGGGGAGGCCCAAACCAGATTTTTAGCGTCTCCTGGGCGCGTTGTCTGAATTGCTGGGGGGGCTCGAAATCGACACCCCTCACGCAGATCCGCGGGGTCAGGGTCCAAAAACACATGGGATTTGCCACATTTCTGAAATTCGGTGCCACTCCTCATGCAAATCCGCGGAGTCAGGGTCCAAAAACACACGGATTTGCCACAGTTTTGAAATTCGGTGCCACCCCTCACGCAAATCCGCAAGGTCAGGGTCCAAAAACACAGGGGATTTGCCACAGTTCTGAAATTCGGTGCCACCCCTCACGCAGATCCGCGGGGTCAGGGTCCAAAAACACAGCGGATTTGCAACATTTCTGAAATTCGGTCCCACCCCTCACGCAGATCCGCGGGGTCAGGGTCCAAAAACACAGCGGATTTGCAACATTTCTGAAATTCTGTGCCACCACTCACGCAGATCCGCGGGGTCAGGGTCCAAAAACACAGCGGATTTGCAACATTTCTGAAATTCGGTGCCACCCCTCACGCAGATCCGCGGGGTCAGGGTCCAAAAACACAGGGGATCGGTGCCACCCCTCACGCAGATCCGCGGAGTCAGGGTCCAAAAACACATGGGATTTGCTACATTTTTGAAATTCGGCGCCACCCCTTACGCAGATCCGCGGAATCAGGGTCCAAAAACACAGGGGATGTACCACATTTTTGAAATCCGGTGTCACCCTTCACGCACATCCATCGCAAGGCGTGGCAACCCAAACTGCGAGAATTCCCTCGGCCCTTTAATCGCAAGGTGTGGTAACCAAGCCCGTAAACCATACACGTCTTACCAATCGCCAGGTGTGGTAAAACCTCTTGTTATCAGCTGGTTTTGCAGATTGCGAATCGGCTTCGCATGAAGTTTCGATACTGCTTCACGACAGCGCCAAGGCCTCATGACTTAGCTCTTCCATGGCCCATTCTCCGAGAGAGGGGGCCGGCGGCAGGGGGCGAAGCCCTTACGGATATTCCAAAAAGTGTCCCCGTACTATTTTTGACTATTTTTGAACATTCCCCCTGTAGAGGGACAGGCACGACTTCACGTTACCCCCTCCCTGCCATGAGTGGTTCTTGTAAACGGCAGAACCGTGCCTTCCTTCGCGTTGCACGTTTGTTCCCGAGTTCCGGCGCCGTTCTTGTTTCCAGCTCCGTCGCCGACGTTTCTTCGGTTCTGGTTCCTGCTTCAATTCGAAAGCTGTTGTTTTAACCCTTTCGGCGAACATCTTTATACGGTGAGGGCATTAGCACTTCGAGGGTGGGCGGACCCACCCGCGATTTGTATGTCATGCAGAGAAGCGCAGGCGGGGCCCCCAGGAACCAGCCCTCAAACTAGGGCTCGACGCCCCGGGGCCCGCTGCCCCCGCGCGCAGCCGCTGCCGCCGCGCCCAAAGCACACAGCAGCGGGCGGAGGACACTCACGCCCGCTGGCCTCGGACACCTCGCGGAGCTTCGAGGCCGCGATCTCGCCGCACGGCCTGGATAGCTCCACGCAGAAAGCCGTCACCAAGCCGCCCAGCTCCTGCTGCCTCGCGCGGGCGGGCTCGGCGGGGCCCTCGCGACGGAGGCCGCGGCCGCGACGACCGCGGCTTTGCACTTGTCCCTCCGCCCCTGGGCCTCCTTCACGAACTGGACAACGAGGGCCCTGGCGGCCGCCTCGGCCCAGGGCGACCACGCCGCGCCCCTGGCTCCCAGCCGCTCGAAGACGTCGAGGACGGCGGCCTGGGAGAAGTCCATGCCCGCGAAGATGTCAACGACGTGCCCCTTGAGCTCGGCCTCCGACCGCACCCTGAAGAAGCCGCTCGCCAGCTCCTCGTCGGCGGCGTCGGGGCAGGACTCGTCGAAGTCCACCTGCAGCTGGGCACCGCCCCCCAGCTTCGCGGCGCCCAGCTCCCTGCCGCTCTGCCCGACCCTGTCGTGCCGCTCAGAGTCGTGCTCGCACTTCTCGCTGGTGCGCTGCTCGACTCTGTTCTCCTGGCTCGGCTCGCCCATCCCCTGCTCCAGGTTCGGCAGCACCTGGCCCGTGAGATCACAGCGCACCCGTTGCTCGTCCCTGCGCGCTCCCACAGGCCGACCGCCGCCTCCAGGCAGCAGGCCCCGATGGTCACCACAATGCCCTCGATCGCGCCGTCGCCGTCGGCGGCCTCCTTGTCCTCCTTCTTCGCGCCCGCGCCCTTGGCGCTGGAGATTGCCTTGGCCAACGCAACCCATGGCCTCACGCCCTGGGTGTCCGATCCGCGCTTGAGGATCTCCATGGCCCCCTCCCCCACGACAGCGCCCTCGTCCTTCACGGTGTGCTGACTGCCGACCGCCTCGACCGTTTCGGCCAGCCGCCAGCCTGCAGCCAATCCCTCCGCGAAAGCCTTCGCCTCCGCGTTCAGGTCGGCTACCTGCCATGTTCCTGGCGCCAGCTCGCATCCTCGGAGCTGCGGCAGCGTTCCACTGCCTCCCGCCCAAACGTCGAGCTCCCCCCCGTCCTCCAGCCCCTCCAGCTCCAAAAAGGCGGGGACGGGAAGCGCCTCCTCACGCTCCTTTTCCTCGCACTCGCTCGGCATGGTCCCCAGCTTCGTGGAGTGGAGCCCGCCCGCCAAGTTGAGCAGCTGCGGCTCGAGCTCAGCCACGTGAATAACCTGCACCCCGAACTCGGGCCACATGCTGCCACCCGAGTAGGTATTCAGCTTCGCCCCCCAGTTCACGCGGAGGGGCGCCGAAACCCACTGCATCTGCTCGCACTCGTTCTCAGCAGCCCTGTTAGCCAAGCCGCCCGCGTCGCCGCTCGCCACGTGCGCGGCGTGCTCCGCCTCGACCAGGAAGCCCAAGCGGGGCCCCCGCGCCGCCTCCGCGATCTCCTCGGCGGACGCCCTGAGGAAACCGCTCGGAGGGGCGCAGGCTGCGTGGAGGGCTGCGTTGCGGCGCTGGCGAGACGCTCCCGCCACCCGCCGGCCCTCCACCGCGCTGACCAACGCCGGCCTGGCCGCGCGCTCGCGGTCCTGCCATGACCCTGGCCTGCAGGGGCCCGCCACGGCATGGCACCAGGCCTCCAGCGCTCCCAAGCGCCGCCGCCTGGCCGCCCGCCTCGCCGCAGAGGGGCCCAGCATCAGGATCTCCTGCTGCCTGAGCGCCTTGGGCTGCCAGCTGGCTGGCCGCCCCCCGCAGCCGTTGCGCCCCGCCGACCAGGCCGCCGCCATCGCATAGAGGAGGCGCGCCGCCGCGGGAGACCCAGCTTGAGCCAAAATGGCTACGGACGGTGAGGGCATTTTTTTTATCCTATCACCCTGGGGCTTACCATGCACAGACAAATTCAGCCGCCGTCTCACGGCCCCGCAAACAGAGCTTGCACGGGCCCGCAGCCCACCAGGACCAGACCCCGAAGCGCGGCAACCGTCACTCCGCGCTTTGACCGACTACAGGCCTGGGGTCCGCCACCCTGGCCGCCCTGGCGGCCCTGCCTCGCCCCTGAGCCTCAGCAGCGCTGGCAAAGCCGAAGGAGCCCAGGGCTCCCTCGAGCCCTGGGCGAAACAGCCTCCCTGGGGCAGGCGGGGCGGGTGCCCGATCCCGCACCTCTGGGGGCTCCACGGCGGGGGCTCTGGAGCCTGCAGGGGCCTCAAGGTCCTCCATGCCCTCAGGGCCCGCGACCGTGCCGGGCGCCTCGGCCCACCTGGCACGGGCGGCCGCTGTGGGCCGAGCCAGCTGGTCGATCGGCTGCTTGGATTTCCCAGGCAAGAGCGACTTCGCGAATTCGTTCCGCGCCTGCGCCCTGGAGCCCTTTTTGGCCCTGGGGTCGTCAGCGCGCTGGGCCCCGCTGCAGGCCTCGGCTAGGCCCCTGTGGCAGTACTGGGGTTTCAGGCAATACATCCAGCACGCCACACAAACCAAAAAACTCTGGGCCATCACCGCCTGAAACGCGGGATTCCCGAAGACGGTGGCCGTTGACCTCCCAGACTCCCGACTCGACAGGGTCGTCCTGGGACGGGCGGGCTCGCGAAAAACTCGAAATTGAGCCCCCCGACATTTGGCCAGAGTCGGGGGTCTCCAAAAGGGGCCCTGGGGTCCTCACCTGGCCAGCAGGGCCCGAGGGGGCTCGCGGAGGCGGGGCGGCGGCCGCAGCAGCAGGGGAGGCCCCTGAGGAAGGAGGGGGAAGGGGCTGCGACACAGCCGGCGGGGGCGGGCTCAGTGCGCCCGCGGCCGAGGGCGCTGCCCGCTCCGCCTTCTCTGCGCGGCGGCGCTGGGCCGCACGAAGCAAGGCCGCCGACGCGCTCGACGCGTCAGCGGCTGGCTCACTGGGCCCGACGGGCCCCGCGCCTGCCTCCTTCCTCTTGCGGACCTTCGCGTCGACCTGGCCCTGGGCCTGGGCTCCCTGGCTGGCCGCCGCTGCCGTCGCCAGCGCCGATGCCGCCCCCGAGGCCGCCAATCCGCCAGGGCCACGGGCAGTCGACTCCTCGGCCTCCAGAAGCTGCTCCAGGGCGGGCGACGGAGCGAAGGGGTCCAGGTCCACGAGGTCCAGGGAAGTGAGCGGCCAGGAATCCCTGAGCCCCGACTCGGTGATGTGCACCTCGAGGGCCGCCGCGCACCTGGCCACCTCCTTCGCCCGAGCTAGGCAGCCCTCCAGCCTCAGGGCGTCCTGCTCCGCGATGGCGTGGAATGCCGCTCCTTCCATTGCCCTGGTGTCGGCGCGCCTGTTGCCCACGAGCTCGAAGAGAGTGAGCTCCCCGTCCTGCACCGCGGCCTCGGTGCGGTGGGCGGGCACGTGGCGCATGGTGACGCCCTCCGCTGCATCGCCCACCCTGGCCCACACGTGGGCGTGCAGGGGGCTGGGGCCACAGGCCTTGGTCAGGTTGGAAGCAGCCTTCACCGTGCTCAAGCAGTCGCTGAGCAGCGTGTAGTTCCCGATGATGTCGGCGAGGCCGATGGCGGCAGCGAAGTCCTCTCCCGCCTTGGCCGTCTGCGACGGGAGGTCGCTGGGGGGCACGGCGCCCCGCGCCTCGGCGATGAGCCTCCCCTCGGGCCCGTAAACTATGACGGCCCAGCCAGCGCTCCTGACGTGCGGGAAGTCCCCGTTCAGGCACGACCCGTCGGTGAAGACAAAGGACCCGTCGGGCACCACCAAGATGCCGTCCTCCCACCCGCAGGATCGCCGCGCCCAGCTGTCATCCCAGGCAGGCCTGGCCACCAGGAGCCTGATGTCGGCGAAGAGCCCCTGACTGAAGAGCTCGTCGAAGGGGGGCCCCATGCGGTGGGCCTGCTCCGCTGCCTGTCTCACCTGGTACGGGCAGTAGTCCCGCCTCCAGGTCGCCCAGGCTGGGCACACGTGGTGCCTGTGGTGCATCGTCCCAGGGGCGGCGCCGCAGAGCCTGCAAAGCGGGTCGATCTCTCGCCCATGCCTCGCCAGTCGGGCCTGGGGCCAGCTGGCCAGCGACGCCAAGCGTCTCAAGCAGCCTTTGTGGTGAGCCGTCCAGGTTTCCGACTCCTTGGCGCCGAGGAGCTGGTTGATCGGCGTCCACCACGGCGGCAGCCGCCACTGCCAGAAGGTCTCGGGCCTGCTGACGTACTCCTCGAGCGACGCCGCCTGACGCGTGTCCTCCTTGACCCTGGCGGCGAGGAAGGCGGGCGAGAACCTCTTGACATCGAACTCGCTGCCCCCCCTGTCGGTCAGGACGCGTCCGCCAGCTCTGAGACCCCAGCCGACCCGCCCTAGCGTGAGCACCAGCGCCGAGACGGGGTCGCGCACCGCGGCCCACGGCCTCTGCAGCGAGGCCAGACGGCTGCTGTCCCTGAGGCAGGCCTGCACGGCGGCAGGAGAGGCCTGGCCAGACCAGCTCATGGCCACGAAAGCCTGGACCGCCAGGCCCGTCGCAATCACCAGCGGATCCTGCCTCCAGCCCTGGGGCGCGCACTGCAAGCAGAAGGTCAGCGCCGCGCCCGCCGGCAGGTTGCAGGCGGCTTTCGCCGCAGATATCCTGAGCGCCCTCATGCGCCCAGGCGGGATCCCGTTGATGGCCGAGCCCCACAGGGCCTTGGCAGCGGGGCCTGCCCTCTTGATCTTGGCCTGCCTCATCCCCGGGCCGAAGATCCTGGTGAGGTTGTTGCCCTGCCGCAGCGCCGCCAGCTCCCTGGCCACCTGCGTCCCGACCCTGCGGTGGCTGCCCGCCGTCGCGTCGCCTCCAAGGTCGCGGTGGCCAGCGACGAAGGCTTCGTCGGCGAGGACCCAGTCGGCGTGCTGCTGCAGCTCTCTCCTCAGCTTCACCGAGGAGGCCAGTGCCTTGGTCTTTCCCCAGTTGGTGGGGAGCCGCTTGTCGCCCAGCATGGTGGCGACGCCCTTCGCGAACCTGGCGATCTGCTCGACGACCAGCCTGCGCGCGCCGATGCCGTGGCCCGAGATGTCGTCAATCACGTTGGCTACCCTGCCAATTGGCAGCAGCTTCCTCGACTGCAGCAGGAGGTCGCACAGCATGATCCTCGCCATGGTCGTCGCACAGGAGCATCCAGCAATGACGGTGTCGTCGATGACCAGCTGCTCGCTGAGGGCCAGGTCGGCCCTGGCCCTGCGGGGGCCCGAATACAGCACGCACAGCGCCTGGACCAACCCAGTGTTGAAATCGCAGCCCCGCGCCGCTTCGAGGAGCAGCCCGTGGCTGATCTGCTCGTAGAACTTGCTGATGCCGAAGTAGACCGACGCAGCCTCGAAGTTCTTCTCGCGCGCCAGGCCGAGCAGGAGGTTGTGGATGTAGGCCGCCCTGTCACAGCAGGTGTCCGAGTCTGCCCCCCAGTATTCGGGGAGCTTGTGGTCCCGCTCCCAGCCCGCGCAGTACTTGCGCCTGATGCGGCTCCAAATGCGCAGCCACATGCAGAGGGGCCCGATCGGGCGGCGGCCCCCGTCGGGCTTCCCCAAGAAGACGATGATCGTGGTGAAAAGCTCCGACGGCTGGGGGTGCCGTTCCCAGGCTGCCAAGATCTCAGCCAGCCTGTCCGCGCACACCCTGCCTAAGCTGAGGATGAGCCTGGGGTGGAAGGCGCCCCATCCCAGAGCCGTCTTCCTGGGAAAGGTCTTAGCCGCTGCCAGCACATCCTCCGCCGTGATGGCGTCCAGACCCAAGGGCTCGTCCCAGTTCTCGGGGCGGGCGCTGGCGGAGCCCTCCTTGTGCCAGAGCGCCTTCCACTCCTGAAGGATCCTGTCTAGGGCCTGCTGTCCGACCAGCGGGACTGGGGGGGCCTCGCCCTCGCCAGGGCCGAGAATGGAGCAGGTCTCGAGGTTGGCCTGCGTGCTGATCGCGTGGGCGCCCTTGCCGTTCCCACTGAGGGCCTCGGCCATGAACTCCTTCCAGCGCTGCCTGGCGAGCTTCACGCCCTCCCTGCGCTTGAACTCAGAGGCGGCGCCGATGGCCTGGAGGAAGATGCCGCCCTGCTGCGACCTGTCCGAGATCTCCGCCAGCATCGCCGCCATCTTGGTGCCGCCGAACATCTCGCAGCCCTCTGCCCCAAACTTGGGGGCCAAGCCTAGGGCGGCCTCCTGCAGACGCTTGACGTGCTTGCGGTGCCCAGGCGAGGGGTGGGGCACCGACGCCGCGGCCGCCAGCTGAGTGGCCAGGCGTCCCAAGGTGATCCAGCAGCGCGTTAGCGGGCTGGTCCTGCGCACCTCCTCCGAGCGCAGGAGGTGAATGAGCTGCTTGGGTACCCTCTTAAGCCCCTGCGCCCTGCCTCTGTACTTGGCGCCGTCCTTGATGCCGAAGAGGTGTATCAGGCGATCCTCAGCCTGGTCGAAGAACTCAACGATCGCCTTGTTTGGGCTCCCACTCTCGTCCAGGAGCGGCGCCTTCCAGTCCGTCAGCGAGTCCTCCTCCTCTGGCTCAGGCTGGATCCCCATCCTGCTTCGCCGCAGGCAGCTCGAAAGGCTTGGGGCCTTTCTGCACCCAGACACCTGCCTGGCTGCTCAGCTTCTCGAAAGTGAGCCTGACGGGGGCGTGCGGGTGCGCAGTCGCCTGTCTGAGCACCGACACCTTCGGCCCTAGCCCCGCCAGGACGTCCGAGATCACGAAGAAGTCGTATGTGCTATCTCCGCAGGTCGGCTCGTCAGGCGCCACTATCACCGCCCCCACCGCGCGTGGCCACCACGAGCTGCTGAGGAGGCTGGGCTCCAAGTTCCAGTCTGCCCCCACTACGAAGGGCCCCCGCAAGCCCAGGAGGAAACCCTGCAGCTCACTCAAGAGTTCCACGTTGGCCTCATTGAGCTTGATCGAGCACTGCAGGCACAGGCTGACGCACGCCACGACCAGGTCCCCGAAGGCGACGCGCCTGGACACGATCCTTGAGGCGTGCTGGCCCCAGACCTGGTCGATCGAGGCCACTCCGCGGTGCTCACCGACCAGCACGGCGACCCCCGAAGAGACGGCTTGGACCGCCGTCCCCGTGCTGCGGCACTCTCCGAAGGCCGCGTTGATGCCGTTCCGCTTGCACCAGGCACGGGCCGAGCCTTCAGCAAGCGCCGAGGTGAAGCGGGTCTCCTGGATGAGGTACACGTCGTCCCTGACCTTCTCGTCCAGCAGCTGCTCGAGGGCCGTCTGGGACTCGGCCCAAGTGGAGCCGTTGATGCTGAGGAAGCTGGCGCCCTGCTGCGCCGAAGGCCGCACCAGCTTGGCCAGCTGGAGCCAGGCGGCCGCGGCGGGCACCGCCGCGCCTGCCGCCTCAGCCCTGGGCTGGGGGCGGCGCTTCGCCGTGCAGACGAGGTCAAAGGGGGGACTCACGCCCGAGCCTGTAGCCTCGCCATCCTGAAAGAGCAACCCACTATTACCTATGGGCCCTCGGCTGGACTGCGGACCGCCAGACCCTTGGCCTCGCTGCTCCTCCAGGCTCCCGTTGGGCCTGGGGTCAAAGGTGCCGCGGCCGCTTGCCTGCAGCCCAGAGCGCGTCCAAGGCGTCGCGCAGCTTGCGCTTGGCCTCATCTCGCTGCTCGGGGGTCGCTTCACGGAGTGCTGCTGAGGCTGCGGCGTACTCCTCGTGCTTCTCCTCCCAGCCTTCTCCTCCCAGCAGCTCCATGTCGATGTCGTCTGATTCTGGCACTGGTTTGTGCTGGCCGCCTGCGTCTGCCTCCCCAGCAGCAGGACCAGGAGGAGCAGCAGCGGCCCTGGCAGCGGCAGCTGCCTTCTTGCTGACGCTGGCTGCGGTCTGCAAGCGGGCCAGGACCGCGAGGGCGTCCTTGGCCTCCTGGCTGGCGGCGACGTCCTCGTCCAGTCCAGCTGCGACTGCCAGAATCGGGTCGGGGAACTCGCTGGCCTGCAGCTTGACCAACTTGGCCTCCCCCTCGGAGAGCTTCTGGTTCTCGTCACCGAGCGAAGCCCTGAGCTCCTGGAGCTCCTTGTCGAGTGCGGCCTGCTGCTCCAAGATGGCTGCCTCGCGGGACTCGAGCTTCTTGATCTTGTCGCGCATGGCCTTGACCCTCCAGCGCTGCGTCTGAGCAGTAGGCTGTTTGCTCTCAAGCGTCTTCGACTCCGCAGCCTTCTCTGCCTCCTCCACCGCGCTGGTGTCAAGCCCCTCCTTCGCCAAGAAGGTGCGCACGACCTTGAAGGAGATGCCAGCACTCGCCTCGGCCGACTTCCTGGGCGGGGGCTTGCGCCCCTTCCAGGGCTCCGTCGGGGGCGGGGCCTCGCCCTTGAGCTCTGCCACCTGCTTCTGCAACTGCTGCAGCTGCGCCAGAAGCTGTCCCTGTCCTGGCGGGCCCTGCGCCCAGGCCCCGCGCGGGCGAGACGTGTTGGGTGCTGGCCCGTTGGCTGCTGCTGCCGAGAGCTTGGCTGCCTGCACCACGTGGGTGGGAGCCGCCTTCCAGCACTGGGTCTGAAGCTTCTTGCACCTATTCCATAACCAACGCCCCCTCCGGAACGTTGTCGATATCAGAATCAAAATGTTTAGAAACTGTTTCGCCATGCCGTTTCCAATCTCCACAGAATCTTGGCGGCGCGCAAATCGGGGCAGGGGGAAGGGGGACAACTTCTTAAAAGAAGGCTGCCTCTTAGAGAGCGCCGGCCTAAAGCCCGCGCCCTGTAAGAAATTAACTCCTTCTAAGAAGCCTCCCCCTCCCCCTACCCCGCCCCCCTCCGCGCGTGGGTAGACAGAACTACGAAGGTATCCGTCTCCCCCTCTGCACGCCGCCAAGGGGCCCACCTGGGCCCGCGCGGGGCCATCCCAGCGAAGTTGGGGCCTCGGGGCTATCTCGGAGGGCATCGGCCGTGATCGGCCCCGCGCTGTCGGAGCCCAACAGAGACCGCCCCTGGGAGCCCTCCCGAGGCGGTGCCGCAACGCTCCTGGGGCCGTTTTGGGGGTCCTCGTGTGCCCCTGTTGGGACCCCCGTTGAAGGCCTGGAAATTGGCACCAACACCAGAACAGAGGGTTGCCTCCACATGGGGAAGATGATCCTGGATTTCGGTGCTGGTGGTAATAATTCGGCCACCTTGGAAGCCAGAATATTAATTACCACCATCACCGAGATCGGGATCGTCTTCCCTCGGCAGAAGCACACCGCCGATCTTGGTGTTGGTGTCAACCTCTGAGCCTGCGACCCCGTGCGCGCCGCCAACGGCCCCCGCCCCCGCGGCTCGCGCAGGGCGCCGCCTGGGGGAGCCACAGCCAGCGGGCGTCGTCCGGCCGCGCGGGGCGGCAGGCAGGCAGGGCGCCGCCCCGCGGCCTCGGCGCGGGGGGGCGGCGGGGGGCGAGGGAGGGAGGGAGGGGAGGGAGGGGACGCCCCAGAGATCCAACGTACTGAAAAAATCAAGACGCAGGTTTTTCGTAATTTTCGACCTCTAGAGGCCCTCGCCGGGCCCCAGGACCGTCAAAAAACGACTCAGGATGAAAAACCAGTCCTGGGGAATGGGTCGAGACCTCCAGGGACCCCGCATTGAAAAAATCACGACGTCGGATCTCTGGGGCACGGGGACACACTACGGTGAGGGCAGCCATCTCTCCGCGCCCGAAGGCTCGCACGCATCAGAAGGATTCACGCTGGTGGCCCTTGCGCCCGCGGCGGGTCACCGCCTCCCCGCCTGTCAACGCGCTCGCCGGTGGCCCTGGCATGCTTGGCGGGTCGCCACATTCCCGCCAAAAGGAAGGAAAGAAACCACGGGCCCTACCTCTCCCATGCCGCTCTGACCGCTCTCGCGGCCCTGGACTCAGGGCCGCCTTGCGGCCTCGCTCGATCGCCGCCTCAGGCGATGCGAGGCCACGAGACGCCAAAACTCCGCCCGCCCCTCGCAAGACGAGGGCCTGCTGCCCCGTCGCGCTCGCCGAGGGACGGGGGCGGGTTGGGAGAGCCAGGGCCGCTGCCTCATCGGCGCCCGGGGCGGCCGCCAGCCTGCTGGACTGAAGGCCTGCCGCGGCACCGAGGCCGCTCGCCCGCTGCCGTTTGCCGCCCCCGGGAACGAGACCTTCAGAGATGCCGCTGCGGGCCTGGGCCCTCGAGCCTTCCTGGAGCGGACCTCGGCTCCGGAGCGGGGCTTGGCCAGGCCGCGGAAAGCACGGCGGGGCTGGCAGCAGCGCAGGCACCAGCGCGCGCAAGCTGGCGTGTAACCTCCCTCGGAGACCTGGCCGAGCACATGCGCCTGCACGAGAAGATGGCCCTGGACCGACCCAGTGGCCGTCAAAGCCTCGGCCCCGCCGGGGGGGGGGGCGCCGCGGCCGAGCTGGAGGCGAACGAGCTGGGGGGAGCCCCCCCCGTCCAGGCGTCAGCACAAAGCTACCGGGGCCGGGCAGGGGCACAGCCGCCGCAGGACGCTTGCGGGCCGCCCTCCGCTCGGGTCCCGCAGCACCGGGCTCACTCCATGCACCGTCTCCCGTACCTCGCACACGGCGCTGCCGCAGCCGCCGCCGCCATTACGCCCGCGGCGGCGGCCAGGTGGGGGGCATTTCCTTTTCCCAGCATCATCCCCGTCCCTTCTCCGCGTTTCCTCCCCCACCTCCCCCTCCCCACCCTGCTCCCTCCCCCTGTTGCGGTCGATGTCGGCCACAGCCTCGCGACCTATGTACGCTGCGAGGGGCAGTCCATCTCCAAAGTTTCGAAGTGGAGCCCAGGCCGGCGGACAACTGTCCACCTCGGAGAGTCGCGGGGCTACGGGTGCACGCAAAGGAAGACGATTACGCAGAGCATTCTGGTAGCTCAAGTGGAACCCCTGGGCCGCCTCCCTTGAAACGCGTCCTCGGCACGTGCTGCATCAAAACAGCCGCCCGCCCCCACGTCATCTTCGCCCGACGTCCACCTCTCATCCTCACAAGCTCGTCATCACGTCCTCCGTTCCTCCGCGACCTGCCTCCAAGCGACCTCCTCCCTTCCCCCCCCACCCTTCCACCATCATCCTCCTTCATCGTTCTCCTCCTCCTCCTCCTCCTCCTCCTCCTCCTCCTCCTCCTCCTCCTCTTTCCTCTTCTCCCCCTCCTCCTCCTCCTCCTCCTCCTCCTCCTCCCCCTCCTCCTCCCCCTCCTCCCCCTCCTCCTCCTCCTCCTCCAATCCTTTTCCTAATGACTAGCTCCTCCCTGCCGCGCCCCGAAGCCAGTCGAGAGGGGGAGGCTGGGCGTGTCGCCTGAGACCTCCTCATCACTGGCGCGCGTGAAACTTAGAAGCTGGCAACCGCGTCATACGTGGAGGGCGAGTGGTCTTCGACATGTGGCTCTTGTCTTAGCGCCGCTGCAAGAGCCTCACGGACTGAGGACGGGTCGTCGCCAGAGCGCCGCGCACGCTCGTATTAAAAGTTTGCAAGAGCTTCACGATTAAGGGCGGATCGCGTTCAGAATGTGGCTTTCGGCGCCGCGCACAAGTCGATTCTAAGAGTTACAGGTTTCGCTGATTGAGTGCGGCTCCTTTTCACCATGTGGCTCTCGCCGTAGCGCCGCGCACATTCGTTTCAACAAGTTGCAAAAGTTTCGCGTATGCTCATGGTCAGCGTAACGAAAGCAGCGTTTTGTAACGATTCGGGACGGTCATGTTGCAACAGTTACGTTGATTCGCGGTTTTGGAGTCCCAGGAACGGCATTCTGGCACGATTCAGGATCGTGCAGACGCAACGGTCAGATTGACTCTTGGCGTGAAGTCCTGAGAATGGTGATTGGGCACGCTTCAAGACTTCACACGGCTGTCTCCCAACGGGCACCTCCCTCAGTGGAAGTGAATGTTTGTGAGGGCTATGAAGAAGTAGCTAGGAGGGAGGGTGTTGGGAGTCTTGGGTTAACACTGGTCCTCTACCCCCCACTACTCCTCCTCCTCTTCCTTCTCCTCCTGCCCCTCCTCCTCCTCCTCTTCCTCCTCTTCCTCCTCCTCCATTCCTTTCCTTCTGAATAATTCCTCCCCGGCGAGCCCCGAAGCCGGTCGAGAGGGGTGGCTGGGCGTTTCGCCTGAGACTTCCTTCTCATTCACGAGCGTGAAACTTAGAAGCTGACAACCGCGTCACATAAGGAGGGCGGGTGATCTTCAACATGTGGCTCTCGCCTCAGCGCCGTGCGCACTCGTCTTCACCATTGTCCAAGAGCCCAGCCTCCTCCTCCTCCTCCTCCTCCTCCTCCTCCCCTTCCTCCTCCTCCATCCCTTTCCTTCTAAATAATTCCTCCCCGTCGCGCCCCGAACCCGCTCGAGAGGGGTGGCTGGGCGTTTCGCCTGAGACGTCCTTCTCATTCACGAGCGTGAAACTTAGAAGCTGACAGCCGTGTCACATGAGGAGGGCGGGTGATCTTCAACATGTGGCTCTCGCCTCAGCGCCGTGCGCACTCGTCTTCACCATTGTCCAAGAGCCCAGCCTCCTCCTCCTCCTCCTCCCCCGCCTCCTCCTCCTCCTCCTCCTCCTCCGCCTCCTCCTCCATTCCTTTCCTGTCGCCTCAGACTTCCTTCTCCTTCACGAGCGTGAGACTCAGAGGCTGCCAACCGCGTCACATGAGGAGGGCGGGTGATCTTCAACATGCGGCTCTCGCCAAAGCGCCGCGCGCAGGAGGAGGAGGAGGAGGAGGAGGAGGAGGAGGAGGAGGGGGAGGAGGGGGAGGAGGGGGAGGAGGAGGAGGAGGAGGAGGAGGGGGAGGAGGAGTCTTCACCAGTCTTCGAGAGCCCAGCGGAGCGAGGGCGGGCCGCGTCCAAAAGTGCGGCGCCCTCGCCTCGGCGCCCCGCCGCGCACGCGCCTGAAGCACGCGCAACGTCTTCACGGACTGAGGGCGGGTCGTTTTCGGAATGCGGCTCTCGCCTGCGCGCCGCGCACACTCGTCACAACACTACTCCAAAGCCTGGCGGATGGAGGGCGGCTCGCTTGCAGAACGCGGCTCTCGCCGTGGCGCCGCGCACGCGCGCTCCCCTAAGCAGACAGTGTGCAGGAACTTCGGGGATCCCGGGCGGCCCCTGCTCAAACAAGGGCGCTCGCGCCTGAGCGCCGTGCACCTCCGCTTCAACACACACTGCAGGAGTTTCACGGGGTCCCATGGCCAACCTTCCAGAGGCGGCGTTTGGGAACGACGCAAGACGGTCAGGGCGCCACGCTGATTCGCGGTGCCGGAGTCCCAGGGATGGGCTTCTGGCACGATATAGGATCGTCACGACGCAACAGTCAAGTTGATCCGTGGCGTTGAAGTCCTGAGAATGGGGACTTGCCGCGCTTCAGGACCTTCAACCGATTGTCCCCCAGCGGGGCGCTTCCCTCAGTGGGAATGAGTCCTTGCAGGGGCCTGTGAAGAGGAAGCTTGGGGGACGAGATATTCCAACATCGTTAGTGAGTCTTGGATTGATCCACGTCTTCCTCCTCCTCCTGCTCCTCCTCTTGTCCCCGCCTCCCCCCATCCATCCTCCTCTAACCCTCCGCTCCTTCCTCCCTCCCTCCGTCCTCATTATTCCCATCCTCCTCCTCCTCCTCCGCCTCCTCCTCCTCCTCATCATCATCATCATCATCATCACCCTCCTCCTCATCAGCCTCCTCGTCCTCCCCCTCCCCCTCAACCTCTTCCTCTCCCTCCTCCTCCTCCTTCCTCCTGCTCCTCCTCCTCCTCCTCCCCCTCCTCCTCCTCCTCCTCCTACTCCTCCTCCTCCTACTCCTCCTCCTCCTCCTCCGCCTCCTCCTCCTCCTCCTCCTCTTGCCCACCCCCGCTCGGCCTTCCTCGAACCCTCCCATCCGTCCTCCCTCCCTTTCTTCCTCATTATCGCCCTCATTTTCCTACGTCTCCTCCACCGTCTCCTCCTCCTCCTCCTCCTCCTCCTCCTCCTCCTCGCTTCCCCTACTTGCCCTGGTCGTGCAACCCCACCCCCCCTTTCTCCATCCTGCCGCCTCTCCACCCCTCTTCCCTGCAAGTGGCAAGGTCATCCCTGCCTCACCACCAAACGCCTCGTCAGGGGTGCGCAGGCGCGTCGCACCGAAAGTCCTAACCGTTCCTGCTATTGACACTCGAGCTGCCCACACGAATAGAGGCAGGCCGGTTTTCAAAATGGTCATCTCGCCTTGGCGCCGAGCGCACGAGGAGTAAACCACTCTAACAGCTACACAACTGGAGGGCGGTCCATATTTCAATCTGGGGATGGTGCCTGGAACTTACTCAACCAAGAAGTTCCCGGCTTTACAAGCGCGCCACAGGTGTACAGATGGAGGAAGAATCGTTTTCAGCATGGTCCTTTCGCTTGAGACCCCTGCTTGATATTATGACCGGAAGCCTGGACGTGTGCAATAGCTGCTCAAA